TTTCGCCAATCATTATTACATATTCGGGTCTTTAGCGACCCGGACCTATATATCCAGCATGGATGGATCTCTAACTGCTGCAATAGCAAAAAAAAAACAATGGACCGAGCTTGATTGACAGGCGATCTGACCAATCAGAATGCAGATATTATCTGCCATCTTGCCCGACATCTACAGCCGGTCTCCATAGAAATCCATGTTAAAACAGGGTAAAAGAGATAGACTGAAATGAAACTTTTTCAATATAACTAAATCTGAATGTGCGCAGGGTTAAGCTGTGCTGTTGTTTGCTGCCACAGTAACGGCAATAAGCTAAAGGAATTCCTTTAAAGTACTTGTTTTGCGTACCATAAAATCTGTCCATGTCCGGCGCTGTATGCATGGCTTGCAGCGCTTAAGTTAAAATACTGAGTGTGAAATAATAAAATGTTAAAATAATGTGTGCTTTTATCATTCTGTGGACAAAATCCCGTGAACTTCACCCTGATCGGGAGCTGAATATGCGCTCATCTGTTTTCAATGCAGCTAACGTTGCGTCGCTTCATGTCATTCTCACTCATTAAACTATGACAGGTCCTTTACTGCAAAAAGACAGTTATTGCGACACTGTAAAGTGATGAAACTATGGCGTCATGTGCTTTTTAAAGCCATTTTTATGGGTTTCACGTTATATTATCGGACGTATCAGTAGTTGGCGCTGTCACCTTGTTAGTAAACGGTACCTGTAGGGAAGTGACGATTATATGTTGTATATGATGCGTCTCCGCTGTTGGTTGTAATATTGGTGAAGTAAATCCACACTCTGCTGAAGAAGCGTTAGCAAACACTTGAGCAGCAACAACAGTACCATGTACTCCGCCATTGTTGTATATGTTTGTTTACGCTTGCCTTTAAAATCGACACGTACTGCGCATGTCTACATACCTAAAACGTACTGTTCACGCGCATGACGTGACCGTTTTCAAAGATTCCCGTATTGGGTGTTTACACAGAAACGATAACGGTGGCGTTTTCAAAAACTTGCACTTTGAAACCCGTTTTCAAAAATATGCGTTTTCAGTCTCCAAAATGCCGTTGTCGTGTAAACGAACAGGCAAAACGCATAAAAAGTTTCCCGTTTTTGGCTGAAAACGTTGTCGTGTAAACGGCCCCT